GAGCTCTGCCCCGGGAACACGGCCCCTCCCTGGGGTGAGTGGATGCTTCTCTCTTGGCCCAGTACCTCCCACCGGGGGCCTGCCCCCCCACACCGGAACCCCGCTCCCCCTGCCCCAGTCTGGGCAGCAGCAGAGCCCCACCCCGTGTGCCCCCCGGCGGCAGCTCCCTGCTAACCCACCCCTCCTGCCCCCAGGGCTACATGGCAACCATGCGTGCCCGGGGCGTGCCCGAGGACATGGAGGGCAAGGACAAGATCATCTTCGGGAACATCCACCAGATCTACGACTGGCACAACGAGTGAGTCGGGGGATGGGACGCCCCCCCAGTCCCCCTTCCCCTGCGAGGGTCCCAGGGACACCCCCCCCCAATGCTTTGTCCCTGGGGCTGGGTCTCCCTGTGCTGCCAGGGCCAGGCCGGCTGCCTCCCCCCCCCACGTATAGGTCAGGGGGGCACACAGATATACCCCTAAGAGATCTCTGCAGCGCCCCCCCCTTCTACCCGCTGCAGGGGGGTGCCCGGGCTCTGGCAGGATCAGGGAGACCAGGATCAGAGCCGTCTGGTGCCCTGCTCTGCCCTCTCCCAGATGTGGACCCTTGCGGTGCGCCCATGCCAGGCCGCGCGCTGGGCCCCTGGCACACCCAGCTGCCTGGGGGGTTGGGGGGGGTGTCGGTCGGTGGGGGTCTGCCCCATGGTTCTCAGCCCTCTCTGCCCCCCCTCCCCCCCAGTTACTTCCTTAAAGAGCTGGAGAAATGTCTGCACAACCCGGACCTGCTGGCGCAGCTCTTTATAAAACACGTGAGTCCTGGGCGTCGCTGCATGTGCCCTGCCTCGCCAGCCTGCCCCTGCCCCCACCCTGCCCTGCCTCGCCAGCCTGCCCCTGGCCCCACCGCCCCCACCCTGCCCCCAGGCCCCACCCCAACCCCAGCCCTGCCTCGCCAGCCTGCCCCTGGCCCCACCCTGCCCTGCCTCGCCAGCCTGCCCCTGGCCCCACCCTGCCCTGCCTC